TTTTTTTTTTTTTTTTTTTTTCAAGTAGGAAAATACTAAGGAGAGACTGAACTTACTTGCATACGACGCTCTCTCACTGCCTGTTTGGAGAACATCCATGACTCCGGTAGTTTGGAAGCTGCCGGAGGTCTGGATCCTTTCACTTCATCCCAAGCCTTGAGTTGGTAGCTGTAAGGATGAAATCCATTCTCCATTTCCCGGTCCCACAGAGGGTGGAATGGGCAATCCATTGCCGCTTCTGGGTTAGGTGCTTCCATATCCAACCAGTTCTCAAGCGGCGCCTTAAAGCATTCTTTCTCCCATCCCAGTTGCCTCGACTTTACCCCCCATTCGCTCATCCATCTTGCCTTCCGTTTTCTGATTTCTTCGAGCTCCTCCTTCCTTTGGAACGACATGCTAAATGGTTCTGCTAGTTTCCCGTAACTAAACAGGGTGGTTCTAGCCTAGCCTTACTTCAGCTCGATATTGCTCTCCTTCCTTTCCTTCTACCTATCCTTCCTCCTCGTCTGCTTCTCTTTCCTTTGTTATGTCTCTCTTTTCCTTCTCCTTCACGCACCCTTTATTCGTCACGCATCCCTTCGTGCCTGGTCGACCAGGCCTGGCCGCCTAACGTACGTAAGAAAATCCGCTGTTTCGGCTACTAGCTTCGCTCTGCGGCGAGTGGCGCAACTTCCTTGATGGTCGGCCTACTAGTCTGCTTCTCTTGCTTTCCTTGCTTCTCTCGTACTCCTTTTCGGTTTCCCTCCCTTTTTTTTTTTTTTTTTTAATTAGGTCTAGCCGAACGACTTTCTAACCTGCTTTTTACTCCCCTCTCTCTTTACTTCCTTTTCTTCGTCTTCTTGTGACGCCCAACCTCACGCCGAGCACGACTTCCTGATCGGCGTAGGATGTGGGCTTGGAAGTGCGAAAAGGGGTGTGCCAAGGATTTTTGGGGAAAGTGGAGTCCCAGGTTAGAACTGAGATCTCCTGTGACAGGGTTTTTCGGGGGCACGAGTCCAATTTGGCGGAGAGGGCGTCTTCGGGTTACAAGGCAGATGGTATGCGCGGCTCACTCAAGACCGAGCGAGCCATTGGTTTCGGGGACGGTGGTTCGTGGGCGGGTCCCTTCGGGGTTGGTGGGGTTCCGATGAGTCCGTCTGTCGGGAGTTGCCACGTGACGCTGGTCGTCGTGCGTTCGGGTTAGGCCTCCGGAACTCCGGGGTTCTCTGATCGCCGCGTCGTCGGCAGTTCCCGCAAGGTGTGCTAGGCCAGTAGGAGGCTGTGGCTGGCCACGGGACGACGCTGAGTTGGTGGTACGGAAGAAGAAGGCGAAAGGGAGGGAAACTGGTGGTGATAACGACAAATCCGGGGTGGATGAAGTAGTAGGTATGGTCCTGAGAAGGGAAATCAGAGCACCGGGGGTCGTTAGCGGTGGTGCAGTGGAATTCCCGAGGACACAGTCGGTTCTCAGTGTGGCAGGGGTATCTCTGCCTCAGGATTTCGTTTATCCAAGGGGTGAAGTAATCTGGGTCGTATGATGAGTCGGAATTCCAGGATCGCGTCATTGTGTCATGGCGGTATTATGAGTTGCCTAAGGGCGGGTCTGTGGCAATCGAGGTCGCCACATGCGAGCACATGCATGCGACGGGAATGGCGTCGTACTTACGGGTGCTCGTGCGGGACGACTGCGCCGCTGCAGATTCCGGGACGACCATTCCCAATCGGATAGGGCATCTGCGATTGATGGTCCTGACGAGTCAACGCCCGGGGGTACGTATAAGTCCGCAACTCAGATCGCGTTTTACGCGTGTCCTCGTGCGGCGCTCGCCAAGCCCGGCCCCCGATCGTCTAATCACTCCGTGATGTTCTGAGCATGCAAGATCCATTGACCACAAACAACTCGATCAAAAGGCATGCAAAGACAAGGACAAAATTATCGATTGCGCAAAATTTTTATTCTACATACGAGTGCATCGAAGGCGACAACAAAAGCAAGGACCAGGATTCCCAGCAAAAAGATAAACAAGCAAACATAGCATCCATACATCCATACATTCAGCAATCATACACACAGTGCATCCAAAGTGGAAATCGCAAAGATAAGTGCGGGCAAAAACCCAAGTCCAAATTCCGAAAAMAACAGAAATCRGGCMGATCGCCKAGAGCCGAAATCAAAATTTATATACACGAGATAGGAGGGAGAAAAKATAAWKAAACAGCAACTCCACGTTCATCAACCTCARCTCTCTCTCCCTCTCTCTTCTTCTCCGATGCGGACAGTCCGTCGTCGCGCACCAACCCACGAAGCCGTCACCCCGCTTAGTCCTCCCGCACCCGTCAAGTTCGCCCGCGCCCACGGTCCGTCGTGGCCCACGTCAACCCCGCGCGTTTGGCACCAGCTCGTTGGGTCGCCCGACTCCTGCTCTACTCACCTCTTACTTCGCTCGTGTGCCGACCCTTCCTGATCTCGCAACCCCGAGCTTCCAACAGCCGGTTAAGAGAGCTAACTAATCACGCAGCTGGAATTTATAGCGTGCATGCATGCGCGAAGAATACGGAATTACAAGGACTTAGAAGAAGGGAAGGGGGAGGGTTTGCCTACTTCTGCATGGTCTGATCGCGGCGTGGGGGACGTAGCCGCTCTCCACACATTGATTCGATCATGCAGACCGAGGCAACAAAAACGCAGCAAAAGAAAGAGAAGAAGGGCGGGAAAGACGAAGCGCAAGAAGAAGGATACAATTACAATGGCGCCCGCCCAAAATTACAGTTACGCACACCATTAATGGCGCCTACTAATAAGAGTTCCGTTGCAGCCGCATGAAGAAGCGCGTAGACAAAAAGCGCTGCGTGACAAGGAAAATCCTGATTAAGAAATTTCTAAATTCCTATCTAATGCGAAGAAGCAAGAAACACAAATGCCAGAAGAAAAAGTCCGAAATTTCGAGAGTCATCGGGGCCCGACAAAATTCGAAAAAGATTTAAAAGGAAAATTAAAAAAGAACAAAGCAATTTTTCGCACGATGTTCGCGCCCAAAAATTTGGAACCGAAACAAAAGAAACGACGTCAATATTTATCAATTGCGCGCGCGGCGGCGCGCCAGCCCTCCGACCAATCAATCAATCACCCGGGCGTCCCAGGACACACCCAGCTCCGAACCCAGCCATTCGAAAAGAAGCGACGAAAAAGACGAAAAAGCAAGGACACTGATGCAATTTTCCACCGATCCCGACCTCCCGTAATTTGCCCAACCTTCCCAACTTAGGACCCCTTATTGCAACCACGCAGAAAGTCGCACGTTATAGAAAGTGGTTCGTCACATATGTGACGCCCAGGGGGTTCCAGTATTAGCAAGCTCCTGCTTGCTTGTTGACACGTGTCGATTTCTCTAGTCGACCGACACGCGGAGCTCTTCCTTTTATGCCACTTACCGTTCAAGTGAGTGTGGACGTCTTCCACTGTGGCATGCAAGCTCTCCTTCTATTTCCTCATGAAGGGCTATTGACAATCCAAGGAGGGGGGGGGGGGTCACACCCGCCGTAGACTGACACGTGGCAGCCAACCATGCATCCGTGTAAAAAAAAAGAGGGTAGACCTCAGACGTTCCCGGGGAATGGCAGTCGAATCATCGAGGGTGGAGTTGGCGGATGGTTCAGGGGGAGAGGGGGCATGAATCGATTGATGGCAAGAGAGGCGAAATCAGGAAGGGTAGCGTCATGGAAGGAGCGATGGATGCGGGGGAAGCGAGGGACCTTATGGAGATGGCGAAAAGCGGCGATGTAGTCGGGGTAAATGGTAGAAAGTGTCCGTCGAAGGGCGGTGCGAAAATCTTCGTAGTTTTCGCAGGCGGGAATAGTTTTAGATATAATACAATATATTTCTACGTGGTTATATTCCCGCCAGTCTGCGCTAAACAGGAGCACATGAAGGAGAAAGGAATCAACCATGGAGCAAGTGGTGGCATGCGGATAAACGGAGACGAGAAGGTGGGTAGCGTAGAGATGGTAGAAAAGGTGATGGGGGAAAGGACACCAACCATTGGGGAACGGGGGTCTATCGAAAAGACGGGTAAGCATGAGGTAGTCACGGGGTCGGCGAGAGAAAGACCGGGGATGAAGCCCGAACGCCGAGATCTTGATGTAGACGAATGGAGGATCGGGACAGGGAGCCGGAGGAAGCTGACGATTCTCTTCTTCTTCTTCGTCTCCGCGATCCCTTTGCTGCGGTTCCATCGTATTCTTCTTCTGGCGGCTCCGGATCACGCCACGGATCCCCGATCGGTGGACCGATAGGAGAGATGTTTGTCATGGGTCGCTTTCCCTCCGTGGTTTCCTGACGCTTCCGCTTCCTCTGCTCTTCCTCCTCTTCGTTCTTTTTACTTGGCTGACCCGATCCGCTAGTTATCCTCGTTCCTCTTTCCGGGACGTAGTCTGGATCATCCCGTTCTTCACCCGATGGCTCCACTTCTTCCTCCTCTTCCTCTGTTCTCCCTATCTCCTCGTCCTGCGCCGCGTTTCTCCTCGCGATCGGGTCCCAAAATGTGAGATCGGTAACGTCGATCTCCAAGTAAAGTGCCTGGGAGGGATAGAGACAGTTGTCCTCGTCAATCTCCATACACGTGGACCACACAAGGTGCGGCTCGAGCGTTCGAGACAGCACGTGGGTGCCAGTCTTCTCGTCACTGCGTGACAAGATGTCTAGGGGCAGATCATCCACCAGCTGAGTCAGAAACACCAGCAACTCGTCCGCGATCAAGGTGAGATTGCCCTCCTCCACTTTCCCGAATACGATTCCCAGCAGATCGCCCTGCTTCGCTGTCCTCCAGGCTTGGATGATCATAAGCTCCACGCTGTCCTCTGGGTGTTCTGGTCCTTCTCTGAATGGGGCCGCTTCTGACCAGCGGAACTCTATCTCCAATAGACAGAAAGCGAGCTCGATGTAGTCCTCCCACCACGCGTCCCACTTCTCTTCGCTCAGTAGCGGCGCGCTGTTCTCCTTAATACGGTAGGAGAGAGTAGGGGCCCGCCAAGACTGCCAAAGGGTGGGGATGCTGGAGGGGAGGCCGAAATCGGAGACGCGACGATAACTCATTGAGGCGGCGCAAAGGGACGAAGCTCCGGAAGCACGATCGCTGGCGAGCTTTGAGACGAGCGGAGCTGGAAGTCTGTGTCATGGGCCGGCACGACGGTATCTCCTCGTCGAGCAAGGAGATCTGTCCACGCTGCCCGCACTTCCCCGACCCAGGCGCGCAACGTCCGATAGATGTCGGAGGAATCACTGGCGGGATCGCTGTGATATCCCCTGTAAAGACGACGACGACGGCGATATGGCTAATCCCGGGGGGAGATAGTCGTCGGAAGGCCGAGATCTCGGCCAGAACGTGCGTAGTTGCCTCCTCCGTGAATCGGAACTCCGCCGCCTCGTAGATCGCCGCCGTGCTGAAGAAGGTTGCGAACCGGAGGAGATCGGAGCAGAGATGGGGCCGCTGCACCTGCCGTATGACACTGATTCGCCCCCGCGGAGTAAGTAGCCGCGCGCCGATCACTTGCTCCGTCGCAAAGCTCATGGCGATGGTGACGGAGTAATAGAGAAAGAAAAGGAAGGAGACAGAGAGACAAGAGGTAGGTAGTCGTCGCCCTCTTCTGCAGTGGAGGAAGAATCGGATGAGTGTAAGGATGGGGAAGGAGGAAAGGGACGAAGGTAGGACACGTGGCGAATGATCGGTCGGGCCGATCGGCTGTCGGAGACCTCAGGCGCAAGCCGCATGGTATTCACGCCGTTTGGTCTGAGCTCAATCACGCGAAACCGCCCGAAGAATCGTGGCGCTAGCTTACCCTGGCGAGCACATTTCCTCACCTGCACAATGTCCCCCAATTTGTACTGGGGCCGCGGACATGCGTTCCCGTTTCGGGCCTCGTAACTTCGGACTTGCCGGCCATGGGCCAATTCGGTCATTTTCTGGAGTTTTCGGGCTAGCCTGGGGAGAGATCGTTCCATTAACTCTAGGTGCCGTTTGGCCTTATCTCGAGCCGTGGCCCTGGTGGGACGTCGGTTCAGCCTGGATTCATCAGGGAGGCTTGGTATCGATACGCAGGCGACGCTATTGGTCCTTAATTGGAAGGGGCTTAGTCCCGTCGATTCGCAAGGCATTCCATGATGGACCGCCGGGATGTGGTTGACGATATCGGGCCAGGGGCTTGAATCCCGCGCTGCGATGTTTCGTCGCAGCACCGTCTTTATCACCCTATTCGCGTTTTCTACTAGTCCATTGGATTGTGACATGTGGGGCGCCGTATTCCGGATGGCGACGTCGTGTATGACCAGATTACTCAGCACCTCTCCTCTGAATTCAGCCCCGTTATCGGTCAAGATCTCCTCTGTATCCTGGTGCATCCTTAGAAAACGGTTTAACGTACCTCGCGATTTCGGCGGCTTGTCGCGTGCGACAAGGGTAGGCCTCGATCCATTTTGAAAAGTAATCGACAAATAGGAACAGGACTGAATACTCACAACTATTAGGGCCGGGGCGTACCATATGTCGGTAGTATCCATGCTGACTCTTTGAAACGACCGTTCAACTACCGTTGGCACTATTGATCTTGGCGGCTGAATCGGCGCTTTATCAACGGCGCAGACTTGACAGTTGGTGACGATGTACTTCAGTACCACTCATTTTTGTCGATAGCCGACTCCGTGATCCGTACGGCGAAATGAGCCACGGTTTCTTCATGTGCCGTTGTCGAGCGCATCGGTCCGGCACTGCATCAGGGCAACGCGGGACCCTCCCGGCCGCGTCACACAGGAGTTGGTTTAAATCCTTCGTTGCAAATTATATATGTGGAGCTTCCGTAAGCCGCTCTAGCCGAGTGCGCCAGCCATACCTCTCGCGAGCCCCTACGACAGGATAGGGCCTACGCGAGGCACAACTTACCTACACCTTACGGGAGCTGTCACCTCCCTTTGGTGGGCGTATCCCCATCGAGCTACCAGTCCACAGTACGAAAGCTAATCAGTTGCAATCGCAGAGGTGGACCAACCGAGGGCGTTTCTCGTTCGCTGTAGCATAGGGGGTACGCGCGGTAATACACCTCTATCGGACCCGCACGCGAACCGTCATCTTGGGGGGCTGAAGTCCCAAGCGTGATTCGACGTCAGTCGACTAGGACGCATCCCACACACCACTCGCACACCACTCTAACAACCACAAGGCAACAACACACACACACACACGAAACGACACAACACAAACAACGCGACAACGCTCCTAGCCCTTCGGTAGCCGTCCCATAACTTTCCAATGCGGAATTCGGATAGGCGTCGCGCATGAGACTTAATATAAAACCGCGCGGACGCAGGGCTAACTCATGTCGACTCGCAATGCAAGCATACGCAAACAGTCGCAATGATGGCGTACCATGTAGTACCCGAACCCATGCGGTCCTCGTTAATCTCGAGGGTCTCATTCGACACTCAAGTGTCGACTCACACGCGCCTTGAGGGTTAGTCTCTCGGCGCTGGACAACCGCCAAGTGCGGTTGAAGACCACACACCCTCTTCTGCACCTTATGTAGAGCGGGTGGTACACAAGTCCATACCTGTGGTGGTAGTCGTCTCTCGCGGCCCTAGGGGTAAGTCCTTCCCGGGCCTGGGCGAAAGTCAAGGGGTTTGACTTTGACGGCTGTCACGGACTACAACGTCCAACCGCAAAAATCTCTAAAAGGCAAAGGACAAGGGACAGGGCGATGGTTCCCCTGCCTAATAAAATAAATCATAACCCTGGGCTACCCTCCCCTTTTCGCGCGGTGTCGGCGGCCTATAGTAATCCCAAACATCCACCCCAGGTATGCCCATGTATATATATATAAAAAGGGGGAGTATGTGACGATCACTTCTCACAGTCTCATTGGGGCCCCTCACAGCCATACATATAGGCAACCACCATTCAATAAAAGTCTGGGTGAAACCATAATGAAACAAAAAAATCACCAGGGCTAAAGCCTTTTAGGTTGGGTGTGGAGGGTGAGTTGGAATTGAGTCGTAAACCGACGAATCGGCAACCGACCTGTTACTAGTGATAACAAATGATGAACCTCAAGGGATCAACCTGAATCTAGTCCGGATCTTGAATCAATCGATTAAGAAGGCCTGTAACACATGACATGTCAATGGCCCAGGCTGAACCTATAAGCTTATTGAGGACAATCCCCATATCGTGACCTTACCCAAATCATCCTAGTTTACTATGTCTAAGCCTACCTCTAAGCAATATGGAAAAATCTTCCCTTGATCGAAGCGGACTTATTAGAATCTCCACCTGTCAAAACATAACCGATCTCTCAAGTTTTAAACTACCGTAGGAAAAATCTCTTTCCAGAATTTATATAAGTCTAGATATGAAAGCAGGAATAATTTCTATCTCCGGAAAGTCAAGTTTTTGTCTAACTCCCCGAATTAGTAAAAATTTGGGCAGCACTCCCTTTAGAAAGGGAGACTTCCCTGATTTACACTAAGTTAGATATGAACTCAAAAGACAATCTGAGTTCAACTTAGACAAAATTCAACTAACTCCTTAGTTTTGCAGAAATTTCGGCAGCATTCCCTTTAGAAAAGTGCTTTTCCAAAATTTATACAAGGCTAAGTCCAGAATTTGAAAGCAACTTTGATTTCCCAAAGTTCAATTTTGTCTAACTCCCTGAATTAGCAAAAATTTGGGCAGCACTCCCTTTAGAAAATGAGACTTCCCAGATTTACACTAAGTCAGATATGAGAAAAAACAAGGCTGAACTTTTGACAAGTCAAAATTCGACTAACTCCTTGGATTTGTTGAAATTTTGGCAGCGCTTCCTGTGGAGAAAGTAGCTTGCCAAGATTTATACAAAGCCAAGTATAAGAAGAGATCTCAAAAAATGCAAGAATTGACCTAAGTAAAAAAAGTTATTACAGAAAATGCAGGAATTGACACTAACTCCTATGACTCTAGCACGTGGCGAACAACTAAAGCAACTACTTATCAACCTAAAACTCTGACTAAGTAGTGGCCCCACTCAGTCACATGCAAGCCAAACCACAAAAGTAAGTACTCTCACCAGCCCCAAGTCAATGATTTAACCCTTTATACCCATCTTACATAAGGCATAGGTCAGGCCGCCTGAACTTACAGAGCGCACCAGGCCTAGAGTCCGAATACCTAAACTTATAGAGCGTTCTGACTTGACCAAATATACACAAATAGAGGGCACAACTATTTTTCTCTTCTTTGGGCATATGACTAGACCACTCTAGTCGCCTTGAACTGTTTAAAGTATCCAAGTTGTATATACTTATCTTTACCTTTTGTCTTCTAAGACTGAATATGAGTGAACTAACTTAAGTTCAGTCTACCCCAGCTTACCACCAGTTTTATTCTTAGTTATACTCTCTTCAAGTTATGATACGGCTATAGTCAGACCACCTAAACTTATAAAACAGTCTGACAAGCTCGTTCTTAAATAAAATAGTAATAAAGTATAGCCAAGTTATAACCATTGGGTTCCAGCATGTGTGAGGCTTTGAGACAGACCCCCTGAACTTACAGAAGGGTCTAACTCTCTGCCAGATTCGTTTCTATCTGAGCCATTATGTGTGTGGCATCAGGTCAAACCCCCTGAACTTACAGAAGGGTCTGCCTCTTTGCCAAAATTATTTCTTCAGAATAAAGAGCGGGAAGAGACTGAGCCACCTGAACTTACAGAACAGCTCAGCCTCCTCGTTCAGAAGCCAAAGAAACAAAGTAAAATCCTAATGAAAACAAGGCAATCCAAGGCACCAAAACTTATTGAGCGCCCTGAGTCCCTGAAAATCAAGCACAATCAAACCCCTCGCATGTCAAAGCAGTCAGGCCACCTGAACTTACAGAACAACCTGACCCTCCATGCAAACTATATCACCGGGTCTCCCCAAACTTATGGGGACATCCCAGCCTTCAGAGTAGTCAGGCCCCCTAAACCTTTAGAAAGGTTTGACTTCTCCATGCAAAACCAAAATAAAACAAAGCGCTGGGGTTCCTCAAACTTATGGGGACTCCCCAGCCTTAATGACCCGGTCAATCATCACAGAAACCCTCCCATCATCCTGCCTTTCCCTGATGCAGTTCTTTTCAACAGTCTGAGTTCACACTATCAACAAAATGAAACTGAAACTCCACAACATTTCTTTATTTAGCGTGAATTAGTGTCTTGAAAGTCAAACCAAAAATAAGATAAGGCTGCACACCATATATTCAGCCAGAAATGTAATGGGAAATACAAATAGGGGTTATAATCAGGGTTTATAGAGGGAAACGCATAGGTTACCTGTCAATTCCCTGCCTCAAGAGCCTCGCCTAGGCTCCGGCAGCGCTCCCGCAATCGGTGGGTGGACTCCCCACAGAGTCTTGATGCGATCCTACAGGTTGCAATCCCGCCTGCCGCCTTCCCCTCAGAACAAGACCAGACTTAGAGTAAGAAGGGTAGAAAGATATGGTTTTGAGACTCTCAGATACCAGAGGGGTGCTTTCAAGGTCACTGGAGAGGGTCTTGTTTCCTTGACTCGCCTGAGGGCCCCACAATGGCTGCCAAGTGTCAGCCGCTTGGTCAACTGAGGCCAAGCCACCAACTGTCGCTCCCCTGATGGCCTCCTAGTTCGCAGTAATAACCCTCTCTCTTCACACAGGCTGGCCACTCCTCCAAGCCACACCTTTGCCTCTAGCAGCCACGTCGTCCCAAACAGTCATACTTCTAGTCAACGCAGTAGCTTGCGACAGATCCAACAGCTGTCGTGGTGGGAAACGCAACCACAATGAGTGGTAGCGTGCGCGACACTATTGTAGCAGCCGCCGACAAAACCCACTGGGGTAGCCTGTGCACGGCTCACAGACACAACAACTCCTCACACCAGTAACCAGCAGTAGCTTGTAGCAATATGCGGCCGCCCACAACAGCCAGCTGCGGCCTGGTTAGTCAGGACCCACACTTTGCAGCCTACCCGTAGTCGCGTCACCCAACACAGCTAACCGTCCCGTCCCGTACGCTAGTCAACAGGTAGATCTGCAACTTCGTGGCTGGCCCATTACTGCACAGGCTGTTCAGACAAGGGGCGCGACGGTCAGCAATAGGACAACAACCCCCACAGCTCGCTCCTTCAGTGATAGATAGGTGGCGAGACTGACATCAGGCAAGTCTCGACGCTCGCGGCCAACCTCGTTGCTGCACAAGCTAGTATAATGAGCGGCACACCACCGTCCTTGCTGATTCCATCCCGAAACACATGCGCTACTCGCCAATCGATAATGACGCCTCAGCCAAGTCTCCGTGCAACTGCATCCAGCTCTCGGCTGTCTACCACCTGCCTCCGCAAAACCATGGGAAGGTATCGGCAGATGTCGGTCAGGACTCCTACAGCCGAGTTCACCCAGTCCGTGTTCATGCCCTTCGTGATGCGCCTTTGGCAAGGTAAGTGCCCTCAACCGCTCCCGACTCCCCTCCTTTGTCCTTGTCAGTGCCTTCTCCCGTCGTACCTGCAGCGTGGCCCGGGGGCCAGCGAAATCGCAATGGGTGATGCCTCGGCAATCGCAACGGCGAGCTCCTCCGAGATCTCGTTGGCAGGCGAAAAGGAGGCGGTGACTCTCCCGCAAAAACGTGAGCCAGATGCACCCTGGTCAGGTAAGTATATTCGTTCCGACTCGATCCGGCCCCGCTGCTCACTCGATATATGGGAAAGTGAATGAATCCCCGCTAAAACGTGGCTAGATACATCGTCCTTATTCCAGGACGTTCAGCAAAACAGCTCCCTCCCTCTCTCTCCAACATACTGCAGACGACTGTGCCCCGTATGACCACGTACAAAAAAAACAGGAAAAACGGGAATAAATTTTCCGCTGAAACGCAGAAAGATTCATCATCGCTTTAAGGCCTTCTCCCTACACACAGCCTCCACGCAGCACCTTTCTCGTGTACCGCCCCATACACTATCCCATCACCAATTCTAACCACGTCATTCAACTCGCGGCCTCACAAAACCCTCACTTCGACCCTTTCCTCACTAGATCCCATTCAGGAACGAGCAAAACACTCGTTCCTTCTTCTTCTCCTCCTTCACTCCCGCCATATCTCCACGCAGTCCATATCTCAACTAACTCTTTATCCACTAATTTTCTGCCCAAACTAAGCCCTTACTCGTGTTTGCCTACCTTCAAAACCTCAATTTCGCCCCTTAGTTTGCTTGATTTCATCAAGAGTCGGGCGAACTATGCATCTTTCCGTTTGCCATATCTCTGCCCCCAACATCGCTGCGCCTCTTCTTTCCCTGCTAGCTCTATTTCTACCAATTCCCTATTAATTCTAACCTCTAATACAGTGTCGCCTCGCATAAAATCCTCCAAAATGATTCTCCCCTCCCTCGATTTGGTCAAAGATCGAGGGGGATATCCATTCTCACTTCCCCTTCAGCCAGCACTGCCATAGCTCGCTTCTTTCGTTCTTACGTTCGACCGCACCCGGACGCGATTCTGGTTCAGGTTCACTCATGTTCTGTTTACCTGCCCCCTCAATCCTCCCTCGGTCGTCCGCTGTCTTCCTCCGCTGCCCATCGCCTCTGCTTTAGCGCCCGTCGCCTCTGCTTTAGCGCCCGTCGCCTCTCCGCTTCGCCCGCAGTGCCCCACACCGCAGTGGGCAGTCCATCAATTGCAGCGCTTCACTCACCCGCTTTCCACCATCTCCCACTTCTTCTCCCATTGACTGTACCTAGTGCGAATTGGCGCCCAAGTCCATTCCTCATCTTCCTGCACTTTCACACCTCGTCCCACTCTCCTTGGCCCGACAACACTTCGAATAGTAGGCCGACCTGTCGACGACTCCTTCCTATAGACAACTATCGGGGGAATCGTCCGCCTGACGGTCCTAAGCCCTTTGCCTCTACGTCCGAGTCCGACGAGAGATTTGCACGTCGATATAGCTGCGAGCCTCCACCAGAGTTTCCTCTGGCCTCGTTCCACAGCCCCATCGCCCGCTGAACATTCAACTACACCCGGCTCAAAAATCCGCCCGGGTTCATTCAAACTTCTTTCCACTCCCTTTACCCCCTGGTGCCCCTGGCCTACTGCACCCACCGTGCCCGTGGTACAACTTCCTGCCCTTTCGGGCCCCGAGGGTGCGGCTCTTCCGAAGCCTCTTACCTCAGGCCGCGGCCGAGGGGAGACATATCCCTTGGCCACGACTGCCCAGGCCTCTCCCACCATCCCGCGGACCCCTTACGGAGGCTGTCTCTTATACACATCTAGATGTGTATAAGAGACAGCTCCAATCCTAGCAGATGCCCCGGAGGACACAGCCGGATCCACGGGGATGACTGGCCCCAAGCAATTCCGGACCTTTGGCTTGGCCCATCACGGCCCTGCCATCTGGGTCCGAACCCGGTCTGCATTTCGACAGTTCAATGGTGTACGTACTGAGCTGGGCCTTCGAGTGCCAACCACATCCACGGCACCGCGGCGCAGCCCCGGAAACAGTTGGCAATCGCACTACAGGCAATCCCGCGACTACAACATACCCCCTGCGCGATTTCGCGCCCACCTACGGGTGTGAGATAAATAATAATAATGTTAAACACTTCAAAATAAACAATATATATATATATATATATATATATATATGTGGACATATAAGAACCGCAAAGCACGCGGTTACCAGGCGAAAGCTGCGGCCCCCGTGGTAGCAAAAGGCGAGGGGGATAATCCTACCGGCCCATCAACCCCTCAAGCCCTTTCCGCCACGCTCCTCCGCTCCCTTGTTGCACGCCGTTGGCCTCGATCCTTGCGTCTGCTACGTACCAGTCCGGGTCTATAACCTACAGGGCTAAGCCCAAGCGTGGTACTAGTAGGCCTGACTCGCCTTATAGAGAGGTAGCGCACGGCCCTTGGGGCCAAGGAAACGCCCTATACCACTTTCCCAGCCCATACTTGCACAAGGGACCACCCAAAACTCACGTCGGCCTACCGGCCTCGCCGCGGCTACCCGTCCTTAGCCAAATCCATGAGGTCCCATCATCTGAATTTCCACGTAAGTCCATACCGGCTCACTAGACCGTCCATCGTACCACGCGGAACCAATGAACAAGGTACTCATAGGCTAATCAGTTCAATCAAAACAAAAATGACATATGCTGACCAAAATCCACGCCACGTCTACCAGTGTAACAAAAAGAAGGGAAAAGCACGCGCGCCTCAAACTTGCGTGCCCACGCACTCTTTACTCTAGTCAACCACCTAGTCAACATAAATTACAGACGCGGCCGTGCTTAGCACGGCATACTTAAACTTTAAACCAAACTGTGTTCTGTCGTTTGCAAAGACCAGGGCGGATACCCTTGTAAGGGTATTCACACCGACACCGTCTTAACCCAATCGTACCTCATGAACAGATGCGGTACAACCATCCAAATCCCACTGCCGTCCGTTTTCCGTTTTTCTAATCTACCCTCTATCCATCTGTAATCCTGAGCCCTCTTGTTAGCCCTCCTCCGATCTTCCTTGGTGAAATCCTGGAGGGGGTTGCCAACTAGGATGGCAATCAAGGCAATATCAGTCCATACCTCGGCCCTTCTAAACCTCCGGGTCTTTTCCAATCCTTCTGACGTGGCACCCAAAAAGTGAGCCTCGGTCAGAATCGTATCAGTCCGACACAAGGGGCACAACCACGGTTTACTGTCGTTTCTATACTGGATGCACGAGCCATGGGCTCGTGCGACACACTGTCGACAATCTATCCATTCCGCATACCCTTCCCAGTTAGGACGTATGGAGATCGAGTACACGCGGTAGATAGCTTCGCAAAAATAGCAAAATTTGTCAGGCAGGGAGAGGAGAGACGAAGAGGAGAGGGGAGAAAGAGGGGTAGTGGGGTTACCTCCATCACCCATCGCCACTGTTCTGCTTCTTGCCACGTGGGAGAACTGCCACTTGTCCGTACTTAGGCTCGTTTGTCAAGTCCGACTCCTTCCACGGTGTAATTTCCTCGCCCTTTGGTACTTTAGCATGTCGATGCAGACGTGTCAGTCCGTCCACGTTGTCGTGTCGCTCTGTCTTTCGGTGGACGATATCGAAGTCGTATTCTTGTAGTCGCACCGCCCAACGACCAATCATGCCTGTGTAATTAGTGAGCTTATTCAATGTCAGCAAAGGTTCGTGATCTGTTACGAGGCGAAACTTCTGTCCGTAGAGATACGGATGGAAGTGCTGGATTCCCCAGACTCCTGCATAGCATCCGCCTTGAGGTGCGGAGTGATTCCTCCGCTTGTCCGGTACTGTGCGCGACGCGTACTCGATGACGTGTTCACGACCATCGTTCCCCTTTTGTGCTAGAATAGCGGAGATAGCTTCCGGTTGCCAGTCCGTGACGAGAATGAACTGCTTAGAGGGGTCCGGTCGGATCAAAATAGGAGTCGTCGCCAGAATGTCCTTGAGGGTCGCGAAGGCCTGTTGGCACTCCGCGTCCCAACTGAGAGGCTGGTCCTTTCGTAGCAGGTTCGTTAGTGGTCGTACAATCGCGGCGAAACCCTTGATGAAGCGACGATAATACGATGCCAACCCTAAAAAGGCTCGAACCTGCGTCAGTGACATGGGAACTGGGGATCCTCTTACCGCCGCAACCTTTCTTGAGTCCGGCCGCAGTCCTCCACGTGTCACGACGTAGCCCAAGAACGAAATTTCCGAGAGGAAAAACTCGCTCTTCTCGAGCGCGATCTTGAACCCAGCGTCTCTCAGTGCTCCCAATGTCCATTCGATGTGTTGCACGTGTCCGTGATAGGTCTCCGAGTAGACAAGGATATCGGCCATGTACACTATCACGCAGAAGTTGATCATTCCCTGAGTTAGCCGCGTCTTGTTGACGAAGTTCTGGAATGTCATGTTCATCACTCGTTGAAACGTGGCAGGCGCGTTACAAATCCTCATCGGACATCGAACCCACTGCCACGTGCCCTCAAACAGTACAAAGGCCGTCTTGGGCCGATCTTCCTCCTTCACCAGCATGTGATGAAAGCCATGCCGAATATCAAACTTGCTGAAATAATTAGCGCAACCAATCGCATCCAACAAATCATCAATCCTGGGGAGGGGATACACATCTTTAATCGTGATTTCATTCAACTTGCGATAATCGATGCATATGCGAATTGATCCGTTTTTCTTTGGCACTAGCACTACAGGAAATGACCATGGTCTGGTGGTGGGTTCAATCTAGGGTTATTGACCCCCGGGCTCCGGGCCCCGGCGGGGGTCCCGGGGGTCGGGGG